CAGCAATGGAGGGAAATGTTCTCCACATCTAAAAGCTAAAGGAAGTAGCTTCGCCACAACAGTCTCTGACGTCGAGAGACAGAATCAGATAGAGGCTCAAGATCGTCACAGCACTGTGAAGGCTTGTTTTTTCTGCAAAGGCGGACACACACTGGAGTCATGTGCTCTGCTTGATAAGAAACCTCATGATGAGAAGATTTCTTTTCTTAAAAAGAACCGCATTTGTTTTGGCTGTTTGTGTACTGGGCACATAAGCAAAGAATGCAGAAAACGCCTTTCATGTAAAATCTGTGGCCTCCGACATGCAAGTATACTCCATATCCACCACAAAGAGAAGAATGAAGTCAAACCTAATAATGAGGCAGATAACATTCCTGTTACGATCCAGACTAGTGGTCTTACTGGGGCTGGTGAACAGGACTGTAAGCTTGCCATTGTGCCAGTTAAAGTAAAATCAAAGAGAGGTCAAAGAATAGTGGAAACGTATGCCTTGGGAGTTCAGCATCCTTTTGTACAGTGGGTCTTATGGACAAGCTGAATATTGCTGGGAGGAAGACAAAGATTCTCCTGCGCACCATGGGACAGGAGAAAGTGGTGGACAGTTTCATTGTACCTGAACTTGAAGTTGCTGGATTGGACAGTGACATGTACTGTGATATGCCTAACCTCTTCACTCAGCATAAAATGCCTGTAGATACTGGTAACATCCCAAATCAACAGGACCTGGATGACTGGCCACATTTGAAGCACGTTCATTTGCCAGAAATTAAGGCCAATGTTGAGCTTTTGATTGGCATGAATATGCCCAGAGCTCTAGAACCTTTGGAGGTCATCCGGAGTGTAGGTGATGGACCCTTTGCCATTAGGACTGTGCTCGGCTGGACTGTGAATGGGCCACTTAATCGAGAATGCTGTGGAAGGCCAGGATGTTTGGCAACAGTTACCGCCAACAGAGTTTCTGCTGTCATACTGGACAAGCTATGGAAACAGCAGTTCAAGATGGATTTTCCTGAGAGCAGCAATGATGAACAGATGGGGCTGTCAAAGGAAGACTTAAAGTTCCTGGAATTGGCCAGCAAGACGGTGACTTTGGGGGATTGGCACTACAGCATTGCCCTGCCACTAAAAGACCGAGACATAAGAATGCCTGACAACCGTGCAATTGAGCAACGAGCCTTAGGTTTGAAGAAAAGGTTCATCAGAGATAAAGACTTTCACAAAGACTACACTGCCTTCATGACAGATCTTATATCTAGAGGATATGCAAAGAGAGTCCCAGTCACAGAATTAGAGCGCCAGAAATGGGGAAGGATTAAACGCAACTTCGTTCCCGGAGATGTGGTCCTTATAGTGGATGATTCTGCACCTCGTGGTTCCTGGATCATTGGGAGAGTCACCGGAGCTGCACCAGATGAAAAGGGGCTTGTGCGTCAGGTCTGGATTAAGACCCCAACCAGCCATGTGTGCAGACCCATCACAAAGATATGCCTTCTTCAGGAGACTTCTGACCCATGATTATGACATTTTGACACAGTGTGACATAACTAACTTTGAATTGACTTTAATGTTATGAGATGTACATTACAGACTGACTATATTTAGGCTAAGTGCTGGTAACCTCTGGCCTATGACTGACTGACCATGTGCAGACAGAAGAGAAGACATGAGAAAATAACTTTGGTGGACTTTTTGAGTATGTTATGTTGTCTCACTGGGTGTCTGTGATATGATGAAGTGTGTGTTGTGAGTTGTGGTGTTGGATGTGTAATTATTACTGTAAAAATGTAATAATTAGGGGCCGGAATGTTATGGATAGGCGTAGCTTTGGGTCACGTGGTGTCTGTAATAGTGATTGCTATATCACCTGTTCACGGCCCGAGGGAAATTTTGTGAATGAGTGGGTGATGGGGGAAGTCGACTTTTGCTGACCGCTCAAGCTTGGAATGTTTTTGATCACTGTTTTTCTACGGATTTTAAGGATTTGATAACAAATAAAGGAGTTTTAACTTGGAACTTTGACTAACGTTTTAAACAGCGGGCGCGTCAACATTATTCCCCTATTCAGCTGCTCGGCGACTCAAAGGCTTGAAAGTCGCCAACAGCACGGTTATACCATTGTGAATTTAGCTATACGAATATGCTCAAGAGTCTATCATATGTTTGACATGCAACTAAAAATTCGAAAATATATATTTTTTTAAATCAGTAACTTTGCAAATTTAGAGGAAATGTTTTCGGACAACATATGTGTCACATTTTAAACAATGTTTGAATAATCAGCACTGACATACAGACATTTATGCCCTGGGTATAACAGACATGCTTACCTTGTGAAAGGCCCTCGGATTTCTTGGAGCAGAGAAACACTCTGTATTGTTGCTTTTCTCTATTGTATAAGCAGCGTCCGACTGTCAGAAACGCTCTGTGCGGGTAGCAAAGTCGGCTCCAATGCACATTCAGGTGAAAAAATAACAAGTTAAAACGCTATACCTTGCGGCAGTTGTGAAGTGCTGAGGAAAATACTGTGTGTCTGATGGGGTGTTTTTATATAGGTGGGGCTACTTTCAGTTGACCTCTGAGATGTAGAGATAAAAGAGCATGATGTAAGGAAGAAAGGTGGCAGGCCTTTGGAGACTCTGTTGGACATGCTTTCTGTTGGCCTCTGACATGATAAGACTGGTTGCATTAAAGCCATTAACTGTTTGTGAAGAAACACCTTTGGGCTGAGATGCTCTTGATAAGGAGCATCTTTTGTTTGCTTCATGACTTCTTTTGCAGACTGTTGGGCACCTAACTGCACCCCCTCTGATCAGCTATGTGTAATCATCGAGTCTAACTGTTGCAGAGTGTGGGAATTAACTATTTGTGAAGAAACACCTTTGGGCTGGGATGCTCTTGATAAGGTCTCCTCTTTTGTTGCTTCATACCTTTTTTACAGACTGTTGGGAGCCTAACTGTACCCCCCTCTGTCTAACTGTTACAGAGTGTGTGAATATGTGTTTTTTAGAAGTATCACAGTTTATTTCTAAAAGAATACATGTTGTTTGCGGTGCTCTATTTAAAACTATTGGCCTGTGAAACTTTTAGAAAAGTGAAATGCCCCTAAAGTAGTTAAATCAGCTATGTGTAATCAGCGAGTCTAACTGTTGCAGACTAGTAGATAATTATAAGACTAGTTGCATTAAAGCCACATTGAGGTTGATACAGCGCTAGTGTGAATATGTACTTTTAGAAGTATCACAGTTTATTTCTAAAGGGATACATGTTGTTTGTGGTGCTCTATTTAAAAACTATTAGCCTGTGAAACTATTAGAAAAGTGAAATCTTCCTAAACTAGCTAAATTAAATGCTGTGTGGGAATACACGGTTTTTAGAAGTATCACTGTTTATTTCTAAAGGGATACCTGTTATTTGCGGCCCTCTGTTTTAAAACTATTTGCTCCTAAATAGCACTGAAGAAAATGCAAAAGGCTCCTAACTAGTTAAAATACCCCTAAAGTAGTTCAATTAAATCACCTATGTCTAAATAACAGAACTCTGAGACCTATACAATCCTTTAAAAAGAGTTTAATTAAAACACATTATGGTTTCATTAAATAATACTCTATTAAACACATGTGAACTCATATGACCCCTGGACACACATGCACGTGCAAAAAGTCCGTTCACGTGCACACGCACATGGACGCGGAGGGGGATAGGGGAGGGGGGGGAAATGCCGGTGTGGGGGTGTAGGGGGAGAGGGGAGAGGGGTGGGGGGGTGGGGGGGGAATGCCCTCGGGGGGGGCAAAAAAAAGTACAGGTATATTACTACTCGTATGACTCTGGATACTGTAGCTCCTCTGGGGAAAAAAAAAAAAGCCTCAAATCAGAAGTGGTGACTCCTTTTAATGACTCACACATGTCCACCTTAAAGCAGATAACCCATAAGTTACAGAGGAAATGGCATGTCACTTATTTAGAAGATCTTCATTTAGCTTGGAAAAAGAGTTTGCTGCTCTATTTAACAAAAAACAAAACAAAAACAACCCTGTAAAGCTAGAATATCTTACTATTCATCTCAGATTAAAGAAAATAACAACCCCTATTTTAGGCAGGCTGACAAAAAGTCAGATCTCTGTTGAACTGACTAGTTCTTTAACCTTAACTAGTAATGACTTCATGAATTTTTTTCACAAATAAAGTTTTAACCAAAAGAATATTCACATATTCTGGAATATGTGCCACAGGCATAAAATTCAGTACTGGAATTTATCCTTCTGAGTTAACTTCAGTCCTTACTTTCTGAACCAGCAAAATGGGGGGTGGGGGTGGGGGGGTTGTTTTGTTTTAGACTCCATTCCTAAAGACTGTTCAAAAAAGTCTTGCCATCAATTAATCCTACAATTTTAAATCTGATGAAATTTACATTGTATTCAATTTCATTGTGAATGTACAAGTTGCAGTGCAAGGCAACAATTTAGCTTCTAACTGTCAACAGTTTAACAGCAGATGCGAGGTGGCTGGTTTTATAGGAAACTTTATAAGACTGATATGTTGGGGCGACCATGGCTCAGGGGAATTGGGAAGCTCATCTACTGGAAGGTTGCCGGTTCGATCCCCCTGTTCTCTCTGTCCTGGTTGTTGTGTCCTTGGGCAAGACACTTTACCCTACCGCCTACTGGTGTTGGCTAGAGGGGCGATATGGCAGCCTCGCTTCTGTCAGTCTGCCCCAGGGCAGCTGTGGCTAAGACTGTAACTTGCCTCCACCAGTATGTGAATGTGAGAGTGAATGAATAGTGGAATTGTAAAGCACTTTGGGTGCCTAGAAAAGCACTATAAAAATGCAATCCATTATGTGTTTGCTTATATTCAAATAATTCTACTCAAAATCAAATAATAAATCCAGTAATAAAGTGTTAGAAATGGTTTGAAAACTTTAGCATAAAAGAAAGTTCTGTGTGAGAATTTGGGATGATGCTTACTTCTTTAGCCAACTAATATATGTAATCTGATCTCAGGATGCCTTGAGTGACTATAACAGGCTGAAGGACTTCAAGAAGGTAAGGTTATTATTCACATTCTCAGCAGTGAAATTTGTGTGTAAAGAATTCAAACAACAATACCTTTCTTATGTATTGTCCACAGTCATCAGAGTACCAGATTAAGAAGAAGAGGTGTAAATATCTGAGATCCAAGCTGTCGCACATCAAGAGAAAGATCAGTGAATATGACCGTCGACCCTGAACCTTCAACCCAAGACCCTGTCTATGAACTGAACTGTCCAGTTTATGATGAACTCCTGTATGATTATTATTATAGTGATGCTCTTGCCTATGAAATGCATTTTTATAAGCCAATCAAGTAAGAGTTTTTCTACAACAAAAGGATAAATAAAATGTGGATTTTTTTTCTTTCTTTTTTACCTCTCAGTTCCACAAGTAAAATTTTGAAAAACAAGTAAGGTTTATAGACTTTATTGTTTTTCTCTTGTGATCCGAAATGTTTTGCATAATTGTGGGCACAGTTAAGATGAGACTTATAAATTTGTTCGGTATCGGAGTAGCTGTGCATGTGCTCTTGTAAATGTTTATTTTTATTCTTTCGATTGTTCTGAAGTAAACTTTTCTATACTTTATTACCTTGGCATGATGGATATAAAGGAAAACTCTGTTTAGTATGGGCGCAGAGCTTATGTTATTAGCACATAGCATAAATGTTCATGGATCTGGGCGCTAATAACTTCTAACAATTGCCATGTACTGCATTAAACTACCATTAAGCATTGTCATTTTTTTTAGTTTTCCCACTGATTTTTGCACTCTCCCTGATATGTACAGTATGATGTAAAATCACAAAGCTATTTGTTTGTATATGACACTGTGTAAACTTTCATTATAATGCCGCGGCCATCATGCTACGATAATAATAAATAGTATGTCACCGGATCCTTTCTCTTCTTTGCCCGTTTCCATCCGGAGGAAAAGTCTTGTTGCACAGCTTGCGTTACAGTATAGTCAGAGTTGGTGAGTGTTTATATTTATTGTTTAGTTAGTATAGTAAGTTATAAGGTGTTTAAAATCATAGTCCTGTGTAACTGCATGATGTGAGTCCCGCATCATGCTTGTTGTTTGAACTGCATGAAAATCACTGATTTATCAGGACTTTTAGCTAGCTAGCTAGCTAGCTAGCAGGCGGAATAGAGTCGACGAGCTGGAGTAATTCGTTGGTGGTGGAAAGTGTAAGTTCATTTCAAAACCCGACTTCATCTGTCGCTTCTCTCACTGTAAGGTCAGCGAACCCAGTGTCAGCCTCACGCTGTCCTGGAAGAACATGGAGGGCTATGAGCTGTGGCTCAGCGGACTGCACTTACAACATCTGTTAGCTTGACTCTACTTACAGGCAGGTCTGTGGCGCTGATAACGACCCGTACGTAAAGGTGCTGTTTGGTCTGATGATGGGGTTTTTATTAACATGTTTTTATTTACCGCCAACTTCCTAGAAGGTAGCTAGTCACCGAGGTAATCTACAGTAATCGATAACTGCCACTGTGCTTCTAAGCAAGGCACATGGGTTAAATGCAGAATGAGCAATAACCGAAATGTGGCCATACGTCCTATCCTTAATGCAGCGTGTCATGAGTTATTGTGAGTCTGTAGTACCGAATGTGTGTACTTGGTTTGGCAGTGATTTGGCTGGGAGCGTCTGTTGAATTTCTGGCCGCCAAACACAATGGATGAAGAACCAGAGAGAGCCAAGCGCTGGGAAGGGGGCTATGAGAGGACATGGTGAGACTGCTCAGCCATGTGCATCTGCAGCTTGAGCTGTGTGTCGTCATTCCCTGGATTATTGTGGAATATGTTTCATCCTCAGGGAGGTGCTGAAGGAGGACGAGTCAGGCTCACTCAAAGCCACAGTGGAAGAGATTCTGTACCAGTCCAAACGGAAAAGGTGTGCGTGTTTGTGTCTGTCTGTCTGTCTGTCTATCCATCCCATGATGAAAATGCTTGTGTCTTCTCCTGCTCCTCATCTCATGCTTTCTTTGCTGCACAGGGTGATAGAGAGCCATGGGCAAGTGAGGCTTGGAATGGTGAGTTGTGCAGAGCCTTGTGTTTCCCACATGCGTAACACTTTTTGTGGTTCGTTATTGAAGTGGAGTGCTGTTTCAGCACTCTGAAATAAAGCATAGAAAATTTACACACAGTTAACTAATTATTCTAAATATGTGAGTAGTTGTGTGTATATCTGTATAATATCATGTGTTTGCAGAATGCTGCTGGATCTTTACTTTTCAGTTTAAAACCTTGAAGTGACTGTTTATGTGATTTGGTGCTCTATAAATAAACCTGAAATGAATGAGAAGTTTCCTGTCGTAGCACAAAGCCAAGGCCTCTGAGCTCTCATGTCAATATAGGATCTGCTGCACATTCTATATTTGTAGCCCAACATACCCGCTGGTTAATATTGTGCATAACATCTATTTTTTTGAAAAAATTGAAAAAGAAAGTTAAGATGTTAAAGGTTGTTTTGTACTTCAGATGCGTCACGTGTATGTGGTGATTGACTGTTCGCGTAGTATGGAAGACCAGGACTTAAAACCAAACCGCCTCACCTCTACTCTCAAGGTAAAGCAGAGCTGTCTCCCTGGACACCAGCAGCTACAGTGTGATTGTCTGCTAACCATCTCATCTCATCTCTTCTTTCCTCCTCAGCTCATGGAAGTATTTGTTGATGAATATTTTGACCAAAATCCCATCAGCCAGGTATGCCATAAGTCATATTCTGCCCCTTGTCACTGTATACAAACACACACTGGTTTCATACTTTTACTCAGATGCCCAATCCAGTTAGTTTCCTTTTGACTCTTAGCTCCTCCTAAACTACTGAATTCCTCATGCTCCCTCTAAGGCTGGGCTGCTCAGCTTATACGCCTGCTGATTGTGACAGACAAAAAAAAGTTTGATTTGCCAACCTGGAGCACAGACTTCATGCTACCACAAAGCAACACCTGATAATTTTATAAAAATGCACAAAGACAGTTGGGTGTCTTAGATTAGTGAGGGTGACAGACCCTGGTGGAAATGGCCCAACATGCAGTTCTAATGGAGAGACGTCCTGTCCGTGAAGGTTGACCGGGTTGTAAACATGCTTTCTAATCTGTATATGTCAGGTTTAACATATGAGTGTCCTGACATGCTTTCGAAGCCAGTCTTACGGGTCCACTGGAGGTGCCAGAGTTTCAGCATTGGCCCCAGGTTGCTGCTGGGTTACACTCGGCTGTGTGCGGATGTTCAGCAAACTTCCAGAGACTAATGAGTGACTGCTAGTAAGTGAGTTGTGCTGTGTTTTGTTTTGTAGGTTGGTATTATCACCACAAAGAACAAAAGGGCTGAGAAGCTGACTGATCTGGCAGGTATCTGTGATTTGGTCTCTTTGAACCAATGTTTTTTGATTTGCCACTAAACCTTTTTCTTTTTTTCTTTTTTTTAAATTAGCATCAGTGTGCCAGTGCCAGTGTTAGTTTTTTTGGTTTTTTTGGTTTTTTTTAAACCTCACGTCATCTGTTCTGTAATGCAAATGTACTGTGTGTGTGTTGTTTCACGGCATCACCAGGAAATCCAAAGAAGCACATCACTGCTCTGAAAAAAGCTGTGGACACTGTTTGCGTAGGAGAGCCGTCCCTCTACAATTCCCTCAACCTGGCCATACAAACCCTCAAGTAGGTTTAGCAGAGTCATTGTTTTTGATTAGCTTCTGTAGTGAGACGTCATTGAGCTGCTGTCTGCCTCTGTGTGAAGGCACATGCCTGGACACACGAGCCGGGAGATCCTGATCATCCTCAGTAGTCTCACTACATGTGACCCAGCCAACATCTATGAGCTGATCAAGGTGAAGCCACTCTGTTTTTTGTGCTGAGAGTCATCAGTCCATTGATTATCTTATAGACAAGTTAGCTCAGGTCCAGAGACAGCTCTGTGCTCCATCTCCTCCGTCAGACCCTGAAGTCTCTGAAGGTGCGGGTGTCTGTCATCGGTCTGTCAGCAGAGGTCCGGGTATGTACAGTGCTGACGAGAGAGACAGGTGGCTCGTACCACGTGATCCTGGATGAGAGCCACTTCAAAGAGCTGCTGATGCTTCACATCAAACCACCTCCTGCCAGCTCCTCCTCTGAATGCTCTTTAATCCGCATGGGTGAGTATGCTGACGCTGTCTCCATCTCTTGGTATTCAGTCAGCTCCTCTCCCGTCACTTACCTACAGCTGCAGCAAAAGCCTTTGGAATTAGTAGGATTTCCTTGTGGATCAAAGTTATTAATAAAAACAATGGAACTAAACCAGTGACACTGGTGAACCCCAAGTAATCACTGGAAGTGTCACGTTCACCTTCTCATATACTTAAGCTCTTTGTGTACGTTGCGTCCAATATTGAGGCCACCAGTAAAAGTAACGCACTTGTCCAACTGTCCAGGGTACAATGTGGGTACATGCTGTCAGCAGGTCTAAACACAGAAGCTTTGTTCTGTTAAGCTTCAGTGCTTGCTGCTGCTCTGGTGATTCTTAAGTAGTGTTCTGCTTTGTTTTATTCCCTCACTGCATCAGCAAATCTGACTCACTTTCAGCTGCTAGACTTTGGAGATGTTTTCCTTCAAAATAAAGCAGTGGTTATTTCTGTGTCATCTGTAAACTGTTGATCTTATTATGTGCTGATGAACCTTTAGGTCTTTAGAATTGTGTTTGTATGCTTTTGTGGCTTTGTGTGTCTGTATAATGCTTCTTCTAAGCTCTTGTGAAAGTTGCTGTTCATGGTTAGATTAGTGTTGAAATCCTTCAGAGTTTCTGATAGCTATTTCTTGTGGTGACGTTTTGAAATGATTCCTTTGAAACAGAACCAAGATTTGGAGAAAAAAAGTAAGTCATTCTCACTGAATCCACTTGATGTGAACCTTGTGTTTGCTCAGGTTTTCCTCAGCATACCATTGCCTCTGTGACTGACCAGGATGCCAAGCCGTCGTTCAGCATGTCGTGAGTAGAAAGCAGTGCGATTAACCGCATGGCTAAGACTGCAGGTTAAAATGAATATTTGTTTTGACGCTCGTCTTTGTGTTTGTCCAGTCATCTGGACAGCAGCAGTGGTCCAGGTCTGTCTCTGGGAGGATATTTGTGTCCACAGTGCCACGCCACTTACACTGAGCTTCCCGTGGAGTGTAAAGTGTGTGGTATGTACTGTTCAGTTAAAGGATTAGATGGGAAAATTTTTTTTTATTTTTGTTGTTGTGTGTTGACTGGCCTATGTGCTGTTTTATCTCCAAGGTTTGACTCTGGTGTCGGCCCCCCATCTCGCCAGATCCTTTCACCACCTCTTCCCCCTCCAAGCTTTTGTAGAGAGTCCAGTGGAGAACCTCCAAGGAGACAGGTAGCTGTGATCTACTCTCACATTGAGATGCAGATGGTGTTTCACTGCATGTCTTATACTGTTGTGGTTTGGTTTCAGGTTCTGTCAGGCATGTCAAGCAGAGCTGAAGGATAAAAGTGTAAGTGGCTGAATATCTGTGCAGCACAGCACAGTGTTATTCTTGTTGTGAAATGAACTTCCAGTTTTACTCATAAAAGCCAGTTTGCCTGTCACAGTCAACTGCCCTCAGTCTTTGCTGTGTAAATTGAGTCATTTGTCGAGGTTTACAAGTGATTTCTGCTCACGGGTATGCGAATAACAAGACACACTTTAATATTGGCTTTAATTCACAAAATGTTTCAGAAACATAACATCCAGCTTCTGTTTGGCTTGCTCTAAAGATCAGCATCTCTGTCGAAGACTGGGGGAAATGTGGTCTGTGACAAGCCAGTATAGTTACCCGTTCTTTTAAATTTGCCATGAGGTTCACCAGTTTTATATATTAACACACCTACAATCTCATACAGCAGGCATCTGCATATGAATATGCAGAATCTGCAAGATTTTTGCTTTTTCCTTATACAGTGGATAGCCATCATCTCACTCTTGCTGAAATTTGTCTGCATCCCAAACCATGACCACTCTACATGTCCTCCTAAGAACCAGGAGGACATGTAGAGTGTTTTTAGTCTATATCTTTTGACTTATTTGAGCTACCCTACTAAGTCCTGATGTGCTAAATAGAGGATATGCTGGGCTTTCCATAGATATCTCATGTGTTTGGGTGGAATCTTTTCACTCCAAAGAGCAAGGAAATCACACAACAAGTTCAACAGGAAGATTCCTTTTTTCCTCGGTTCTCAGGAGGATATAAGCCCAATTCCACAAAGCTGGGATGCTGTCAGATTTAAAAAAAGAAAAAAAACATTGCAACAATCACAAACACATTTCATTCAGAAAAACACAAGATGTTTAAACAGAGGCAAATTGTTTCACAAAAGGTATTTTCTAATAAGGCGAGAGACAGACTTTCTCAGGAGTGAAGATGGATAGTTTCACCAACCTGCACAAAACTGCATCTTTGAAAATTTGAACAATTTTAATGTACCTCATTGTGAAATTGTCAAAACTGTGACTTGTGCCATCATCTTCAGTTCATAATAATAATTATATAAGTGTCTCCATGCTGCCCCTTTTGTATCAATATTATTGTTGTTATTATATGTATATTATTTAGTTTTTTTTTTAAAGATTAAATAATTATTTAAAGTATATGTAAATATAAATTTATACCCATCTGAGAATGAATGCAGATAGGATAAGTCAGCAGACTACTTTGATTATTTACAGATTTAAGCAGCACACATTTCCACCCACATGTGCTGGCTGGCAGAGCTTAAGTTTTGGTGAAATCAGGGGCCCGCCTTCAGTTGCTGTGACACTTTGTGCCCTGCTGGATTCATTTAGATTTTTTCTTGTAAAAACTGTATAATGTCTTTATCTGCCTTTTATTTATTTGCTCTGTCTGCATACCTGTGACATTCCAGATGTTCAGCTGTCCATCGTGTCACAGTGTGTTCTGTGTGGAGTGTGATCTCTTCATCCACGAGTCTCTGCACTGCTGTCCCTGCTGTATTTACTGTCAGACTGTTCCTTGAATCTCTACACAAGCTTTATTCACATCTGATAGGATGAAAATGAGGTCACGTGATTTTTTTTTTTTTTCCAACAAGGATGATTCTTATGGAGCTTCTCACTGAACACTTGAGATCTGATGACTGGGAGTATGAGATGCTTTTAGTCCATAATTTGAGGTGGAGAGACTCCTGTAAATACAGCTGCTGAGCTGCTGCATTGGTTTCTGTCATCAGATTACCACATACATAAAGATTTGTCATCAAATATGTCAGATATCTTTGGTAAGCATTGTAAAAATATGTTTTTGTACTCTAGCTCTGGCTGTAGCATGATAGCTGAACACTTGTACTTCAAGCTAAATTTCAGCAGGTTTCGTTGAGTTTGGATTTTGGGGGTTCCACCCACTCGTCAGTTGTAAGCGTTTTACATTTTACCCTCATACTTAGGACTGACTTTGACTTTGATGTACTTTAAGACGGCAGCTTTTTGACTAAATAAAAAAATGCAAATGTTTTCAGCAGAATTGTGTTATTTCACAAAGAAGACAAGCCGTATAGCTCTCCGAAAGAAGAAGCAGTCATCTTTCATCTCTCGTCAGTATCTTTTCATGTTCGGGTGGCTTGGACTTTATTATCCTTTGCAACTAACAGTATTCAGAAAATCCCAATTAAACTCTCAAACCTTCATCAACAGGCTCTTTTGGCATGGTCTTTGATCTATAAACATAACTTTTCTCCACAAAGATATTATATTTGGAACAACTGTAACATTCTATACAAGAATAAGTCACTATTCTTTGAAAACGAGTTTAATAAAGGGATTCTTCTTGTAAGTCAAGTATTCAGTAATGCAGGATTATTATATAATTACTCAAAAACAATACAGAACTCCTTTGGGTATACACCCAAAGGAGTTCTGTATTGTTTTTGATGCCATACCATCTCAGCTATCCATGTTGTTTAGAAATACCACTGTCTCCCCACATCTGTTCATGTCTTACCCTGTTCTGAAAGAGTCTCCTTTAGGTCAGATTTGATTCTCCTCTTGTAAAGGTGTGAATGCCAAGATTGGGTCTCTTTTTCAAGAGTCACTTATCTCTGTTCCTCCATCCATTTAATTCTGGACTCATTTTGTCAGGACACTGACTGGAAAAAGGTTTGGTCTTTGTAACAAAAAATCCTCCTAACAAAATGAGATTTAATTTAAGCTCATTCATAGATTTTACCCTGTTAAAAGCTTCCTTTAAAAATATAAGTGACATAGACACATTTTGCGCCTTTTGTAAGATTGTCCCAGAGACCTGCTCGCATTTACTCAGATTTTATGGAGAGATATCACTAGTTGCATCTCTTACAGCATCTTATCAAAATTTGTACCATGTTTTTATTGTAATCAAAACACGTTTTTATTTGGTTATACTGACTCTAGTGAGCTTTTTACCTCATGAATCTGATTTTACTCCTCGCCAAATACCGCATCCATAAATTCAATTCAATTTCAATTCAGTCTTTATTGACAGACTTTATTTCCATAGTTAAAAGGATGGCTCACTGTCGGATCTGTGTGTGCTAAAATTATACTGTTTCTAGAGCCGTCCAGTCGTTCTCTAAAAGTGAACTTTAAATTCCGTAAAAGTCCAAATACCCACAGCTACAAACATCTGACTGGCACTAGACCCTCTAGGTATCCTAAGAAGGATTCTCCTTGCATCATTATATGCAACATGCAGCTTCTGCATGCTACATTGTTTGTAAGATGACCACAAGCGGGCAGTATATGGCGGTGCGCTTTAAACCCACTTTAACTGGAAGTGAAGAAAAGCTGAATTTGCGTACAATAGTATTTTCCTGCACAGAGTTTACACCGTTGTCGCTATATATCATCATCATCATCATCACTTATTTGATCAGTAAGGGGGTAAAGGGGGTAGGAACCGTAGAAGTGTAAACTACTCCTTTTCGAGCACACACATTCTATAGACATAAATATATACATGAAAATTTGATGATTTTTAAGTTTTGTTTTGTTTTTCTTTTTTCTCTTGTTATTTCAGTTATATTTGCATGTTCGAAATAAAATTCTATTCTATTCTAATAATAAAGTGAAAGATGTATTTCACCATTAAATGTAAGTTCTCAAACAAGAAACCGTACTTCTCCCCTTTCAGGAAAGAATTAGATCTCTGACTACAATTTGTTCCTCTCACAACAGGAAAGCTTTAAAAACCAAAAATATTTGTAATATTTTTAATCTCTTTAATTATTCGGCGTCAAAGCATCTCTCGCTTTTGTCCCCCTTTTAACCTGTATTTCTATCCTATTTGTTTAATTATACATACTGTTCCACTGTATTATAATTTTGCACTACAATAATACATTGTGTTCTCCATGTATTATGCTTGCTGTTGTTAAAAAAGGTTTCTGTTGAAATAAAGTTGGAGAAAAAAAAGAGAAGCAATCGTCGTCATTTCCGGCGTTTCTGTGGCGGGAGTGTACAGTGTCAGTCCACGGTAACGATGGCCCGCGTTTTGAACGCCATTGTGGCCGTGTGCCCTGACCGGGGAATCGGCAACAAGGGAAACCTGCCATGGCACCCCATTAGGCTCAGGTCAGTCCCGCCGGCCGATGTTTCTGTATCTCTTATGTCGAGTATCTGTGTTTATATTGATTAATCGACAGGATTTCTGAAATGAACCGTTTTGTATGGCACTGTACATCGGCTGTGCTACATTTTTAATCACTGTACATATCTTCAGACAATCAATATGCTTTGGCTAGATCTCTGGTGAAGAAAACATTTTTAATATCTTATCTGGGTAATGGACGTGTACAAGTGACTTTGGCAAAACCTGACAGCAGCTTCTACACTAGGGTTGCCAACCGTCCCTTAAAAAACGGAATCGTCCCGTATTTAGAAACAAAAGTACACGTCCCGTATTGAGCTAATAAGGGACGCACTTTGTCCCGTAATACAGTGAGAATCAAAAGTAGTCTATAAATGTTAATGGAATTAACGCTTTGTTTGAAAACATAATTCCCAGCCCCTCTCCTGCTTTGTGACCAATGAGCTGACAGCACACTTATGACAATTCGAGTATGACAATTCAGATTACCGCTTATCTCATTGGTCGAGGAAAGGTCGCTTGCGGAGAAAATACCGGAAGACAACAGATGACCACAACAACAAGCATGGCCAACAGGGAAACAAACGCTGACACTGCGGTGCAAGTCTCGGACGACAGTACACCTAAAGCTGGGCAGACACTGTGCGATTTTTTTTCATTCACGTTATTCAGCTCCTGCTCAAACTGCACGATTGACTCACAGGGGTTAGAAGTTGGTAGGTCACGATGCAGAGTCTCACACTATACCGCCCGATGCTCTGATGAGACCTGAGTGCTCACACTGTGCCTCCATAAAATGAAGGTTATAACAGAAATTCTGTCGCTCGCTCTCCCTCTCTGTCTTTCACTCACACAGACACCCCACCACCATCAACTTTGCTAAATTGAAAAACATTGATCAGGCAGCTGTGATTAAGCAGCAGTGTAAATCAAACTATTTTCACGGTTGTTGTGGTCGTGATAATTTTGTGATGCCACATCGAAAAGGCTCGGATGAGCTTTCCAAAGTTCTACAAGTTGTGCCTCCATCGCTTGGGTCCAGATCACACGCCGCACAGCCATGCTGCTCCGTCTTTTTCACCGACGTTTACGTGTTAGCGCGTGAGCGGCTGTGTTGACACCCTCACGACCGATTGATGATCGGGAGCTGGTCGTGAGGTGTTAATCGCTTCTCGCTACCCCACGTATACTACACGATGCACGATGAAGGCCAAAATCGGGCCGATCACCAAATCGGTCGCACGACTCAAAAATCGGCTCAAAATGGGCCAAAAATCGCACAGTGTAAGCCCAGCATTAGAGCAGCAATGTTTGTTCGCTCAGAGAAAGAAAAAAAGGCTGCAAAAGTACAGAGAGGAATGGGAAAAGGAAAACACCTGGCTGGAAAAGTGCACGATAACACCTTTAAAGCGCACTGCACTGTGTGCCGGCGCACTTTTTCCATAGGCATGCTTCTAGTGGTGGGCACAAGAAGAACATGAGGGGTGTGAAAGCTCAGGGAACCCTTAACCATTTTTTTGTCCACCAGGCCACGGCAGAAGCAGATATGGTATGTAAACACTGGTTTGTTTTTTTAAACCCTCTGGTTAAGGTTATTATGGGCATGTGCAGTGAATATCAGCGCTATGTGGCCAGAAGTGTGATAATATAATTTATTTTGTGTAATAAACAACTGCAAGGATAGATGATTACAACAAATAGATGACTAATACATAAAAGTAATACATAGATGAATAATGATGATGAGTTAAGATGCGTAATCATGGGAACAAGTGGGTTTACAAACAGGAGCAGCTGATTAGCATTAGAAAAGCTGAAATAATACCTCAACTGAAGCCAATTGTACTATATGCACTATATGTGCACAGTTACAGGAATATTTTTTGTTCTATTGCTTTCTATTAATTTATATAATTTTAAGTTAAGCAGGACAGAGTTCTTTTAAAGAAAGATTTACTTATATTCTCAAAAGTTAAGCATGACAGGCTTCTGTTTAAGAAAGAGACCTGTTTTACTGTGTTAATGTTGTCATTTTGAGCTAAAAATAAATGGCTAAATGATCATTTGTTTCCCATATGGTCATATCACAAAGAATATGCATCTGCTTAAATCAAATTCAAGTCAAATGGTTAAAAAATAATTTCACACACAAAAAAAATAGCTACCACACTGGGAAGGGTGAAGACAACTGGGTTGCCCGGCCCTGGCCACGAGGTGTCCCTTATTTATTTTTCAGCGAGTTGGCAACCCTATTCTACACTGTGACAGAAATGTTGTTTCTGGCTCAAAGTGACTTAATATCATTCATGAGAAATAAGTCTGAGATGTGTTTGGCGGATTATAGGCCAACAATTCATTCACAACAGTTTAAATATGGGACATTTGTTGGTACAAGCTAAGTCTAACCTAAGGTCAAGCGAGCTGATGTAGCGACGTTAAAATGTACATCTGTAAACATACATGTTCTTTTACAGTAAGGAATTCGCACATTTCCGAAAGATGACAGCAACTCCGTCAGTGAAAGGTAACTCATCTCCACCTTGTCTTTGCTTAGTCACAGGTCAAAGTTCTCTGAGTGACCTAACTTAAACATGAACATAAAGCAACAAGTGTGCTGCTTGTATCGAAGGGCCAGGGTTGAATAGAATAGAATAATTCTTTAATTGTCCCACAAGGGGAAATTTGGGCTACGTCCACACGTACCCGGGTATTTTTGAAAACGGAAAATCTCCGTTTTCAAAAATACCCGGGTACGTGTGGACATAACCTTGGTTGTAACAGCAGCAAGAAAAACACATATACAAACAATGCTGCTTGGCTACAAACTTTCCTGATACCAACTTACAGTGTCCTATCTCTTTAAGACTGCACCTTACTCCACCCTTACCCTGTCCCTCCCTCTTCTTGAGGTAGGCCTACATGTCTACCACAGCTATTTCAATCTTCTTCTTTTTTCTTTGCAAAATTCACCAAGATTCGTCCTTCTGGATTTCTCTGCTTAACATCAAATCAAATCACTTTTATTGTCACATCACATGTGCAGGTACATTGGTACAGCACATGTGAGTGAAATTCTTGTGTGCGAGCTTCACAAGCAACAGAGTTGTGCAAAATACAATAATGTAAACAAGCAAAATACAAGAATGGCTACATCTGAAACTAATAAATATATGTACAATATATAATAGTATATGCATTTCTGGATGTGTATACTAAATATTTTTCTACGTGTGTGTGTGTGTGTGTGTGTGTGTGTGTGTGTGTACACATATTTTACAAATTAAATAGAGTAAACAATGAATAGAATATATAAAATAAATAAAATAAAATATACAGAGTGAGACATGTGCAAAACAGTGGCATTACTGTACAGTATGGAGTGCATAATGTTAAAGTTCCAGTAGTGAAGCTGAGGTGTCTATGAAGTGTTCAGCAGTCTGATGGCCTGATGGAAAAAGCTGTCTCTCAGTCTGCTGGTACGGGACCGGATGCTGCAGAACCTCCTTCCTGATGGAAGTAGTCTGAACAGTTTATGGCTGGGGTGACTGGAGTCCTTGATGATCCTCCCCGCTTTCCTCAGGCAGCGCTTCCTGTAGATGTCTTGGAGGGAGGGAAGCTCACCTCCAATTATCCGTTCAGAGCACCGCACTACTCGCTGGAGAGCTTTGCAGTTGTAGGCGGTGCTGTTGCCATACCAGGTGGTGATGCATCCAGTGAGGATGCTCTCAATGGCACAGTGATAGAAGGTCCTGAGGATGCGGGGGCTCATGCCGAATCTTTTCAGTCTCCTGAGAAAGAAGAGGCGCTGCTGCGCCTTCTTCACTGTTTTGTTTGTGTGTACTGACCACGTAAGATCCTCAGCCAGGTGTACGCCAAGGAACCGGAAGCTGCTCACTCTCTCCACAGCAGCGCCGCTGATGGTGATGGGGGTGTGTACTTCTCTGCACCTCCGGAAGTCCACTATCAACTCCTTTGTCTTTGCGACGTTGAGGGTGAGATGGTTGTCTTGACACCAGTGGGTCAGGGCGCTGACCTCCTCCCTGTAAGCCGTCTCATCACTGTTGGTGATAAGACCCACCACTGTAGTGTCGTCCGCAAACTTCACAATGATGTTGGAGTTGTTAGTGGCTGTGCAGTCGTAGGTGTAGAGTGAGTACAGGAGAGGGCTCAGTACACACCCCTGTGGAGCACCAGTGTTCAGTGTGATGGGGGATGAGGTGATGCTGCCCAGTCTGACCACTTGGCGTATGTCAGACAGGAAGCTAAGGATCCAGCTGCAGAGGGAGCTGCTCAGTCCTAGATCCTGCAGTTTCCTGTCCAGCTTCGAGGGAACGATGGTGTTGAATGCTGAGCTGTAATCTACAAACAGCATTCTCACATACGTGTCTCTCTTCTCCAGGTGTGACAGGGCAGTGTGTAGTGTCAGGGCTATGGCATCATCAGTGGACCTGTTGTGGCGGTATGCGAACTGTAGAGGGTCCAGTGAGTCGGGTAGTGCAGAGCAGATGAAGTCCCTGACCAGCTTCTCGAAGCATTTGCTTACGATGGGGGTCAGGGCTACAGGTCGCCAGTCGTTCAGTGAGGAGATGGTGGAGGATTTGGGTACAGGGACGATGGTGGCCATTTTGAAGCAGGCTGGGACTACAGACAGAGAGAGGGAAAGGTTGAAGATGTGTGTGAACACTCCAGCCAGCTGAGCCGCGCATGACTTGAGGACGCGGCCGGGAATCCCGTCCGGACCAGTAGCTTTGCGTGCGTTCACCTTCCTGAAGCACCTCCGCACATCCTCCTCAGACACAGTGTGCGCACTGACGTCATCCGCGGTGCGCACACTGTCCGGTCTCATGGTGTTCGCTGTGTCGAATCTAGCATAGAATACGTTTAGATCCTCACACAGAGAGGCCGTGGTCTGCGGTGTGCTGGTTTTCCCTCTAAAGTCTGTGATCGTGTTTAGTCCCTGCCACATACTCCGAGGGTTGTCAAACTGTTGCTCCACCCTGTCCCTGTACTCACGTTTGGCTGCTTTGATCGTCTTCCGGAGTTGGTAATGTGCGTGTTTGTAGTCCGATGTGTTCGCGGAGGCAAAGGCGGTGCTCCGTGCCGCGCGAACATCTCCGTTAATCCAGGGTTTTTGATTTGGGAAGGATTTAACTGTTCTGGATGGGACGACATCTTCCACGCATTTCCTGATAAATCCGCAGACTGAGTCTGTGTATTCATCAATGTCCCTAGCAGCCACGTGAAACATTTCCCAGTCCGCGTGATCAAAACAGTCCCGCAGCGCAGACTCCGATCATACTAATCCAACACCTACTAGTTACCTGTTATTTTACCTACATGTTGGTGAAAGAACACGACTTGGTGTTGGTGCTGTCTATGGTAGAGTATCACTCCCTGCTCCTGTTACTATGAATGATGGTGTTTTTGTATAACTTATCTGTTACAATGGCCTATAATTTTAATAAAAAGCTCACACACGCCAAAGCACATAATTCGATTCACCCACTAATTATATTCGCAGTATTCATTCAGTGTGTCTTTCTGGATTTGCTAGCTTAGTTTAGCTCGTAGCCAGATCTCTAGCAACATGGCCTCTCCACCCGTCCCTCCTGCACTTTCCTGCTCAGTGTGTCAGAAGTTTAGTTACTCCTCTGCCTCCTTTAGTAATAATGATACTTGTACCTGTAGTCAGTGCGACCGAAGCCACCCTCATGTGTTGAGGAGCAAACTCTGGTTGTTGGCAATACTGTTTTGAAACGTAAAAATAATAAACGTGATAACCTCAAATTACAGAAAAAAACCCATCTAGATAGTGACTATAAAAACGATTGACCAAGTTACAGATATTGCAGCTCATTTATTTAACTTTTTCTTTGGTGTGTGGGGAGACATACATGGTGTGCCCATCAAAAGTACCACGGCTGTCTGCATGAATTATGAGCAGGGCTGAGATTTCGGCTCCCACATACCGATGGACAATTAATAACTGACTTATGAAATTAATCGTGGGACAGATATAATTGTGTCAAACAAAAATGGGCCAGATGTGACCCGCGAGCCATACATTTGACACTCCTGTTCTGGATCTTGTATCTGGCACATATGGCATAGAAACTGAACACTTAAGAGTATTTCCTGACTGTTTTCCTACTTTTGTCTAATCCTTTCCTAATAACATTTAAATTAATGGATTACACAGCACATCAGAGTAAAATAATCTATGGGATAATCGATAATTACTTGATTACTAAAATAGCTGATAGCTGCAGCCCTACAGCTACCTGAATGCTACTCTGTTTTTGTTGTCAAAAATTTTTATTGAGAATTCCTTAATCATGAATATGCATATTGTCATGACCATTGATCAAAAACTGATCAATGACCTTGAGTACCATTCACAGAGAGTTGGGGAATGGGTGCAATCATAGCATTGTAAGATGTTGAAAGTAAGATTTACCATCTTACTTTCAACATCTTACAATGCTTTGATTGCACCTCATGGTTTATTTCACTCACTGCTCAATGACGAAGTTTACGTCACTGGGATCCAAGCAGATTTGTGGAAAGTGTGACATTCCTTTTTTTTTTTTTTTTTTTGCAACATCCACATAAACTAAACAACATGGTAAATAATGTAATGTGTTTTACACTATCATTGTGAAACTACATATTTTGGAGAGTAGTATATATCGAAAAGTAATTCACTGTGTATCATAACACACTCCAATTCAACAGATGTAGCTCAGGATTTTAGCACAGATTTACCTCTGTCCAGACCCATCATAATTATGTCATTATGTCAAACCCATACTTTGGGTTTTGTGAAAAAACAGAAGCTTGTCAGAAGTTGGTTGTTATTATTATTAATTATTAATGGCCCGCTTGTATGTGGGAGCTGAATCTTCAGCCCTGCTGAGAATCTATGCAGGTAGGGGTGGGACTTTATTTTGATGGGGCACACTATGTGGCCAGTCACATGAAAAGACAGACTGGGACCATACCATCATACCAATTCTTGATTTAACAGGGAGCATATGAAGGGAAGCCAATATAGGAGAAATATGTTCTCTCTTTTTTAGTCCCTGTCAATAAAGTGCTTTGAGTGCTCAGAAGAGTAGAAAAGTGCTATATATGAACCAGTCCATTTACCATTTACTCTTGCTGTAGCATTTTGGATTAACTGAAGACTTCTCCAGGAGTTTTTAAGACATCCTGATAATAATAAAATACAGTAGTCCAGCCTAGAAGTAATAAATGCATGAACTAGTTTTTCAGCATCACTCCGAGACAGGATATTTCTAATTTTAGGGATTTTGTGCAAATGGAAAAAAGCAGTCGTATATATGTTTAGTATGTGTGTTTGAAGGACATATACTGGTCAAAAAAATGGTTCCTCACAGTGTTACTGGATGCTGAGATAATGACATCCAGAGTAAGAATCTGGTGAGATACCATATTTTGAAGATTTTCAGGGCCGAGTACAATGACCTCAGTTATATCTGAATTTAGAAGTAGAAAATTAGAAAGCATCCAGGTCTTTGTCTTTAAGACATTCCTGTAGTTTAACTAATTGGTGTTGCTTCATGGATAGATAAAGTTGGGTGTCATCTGCATAGCAGTGAAAATGTATCCAATCCCTTCTGAAGATACTGCCAAAGAGAAGCATGTATAATGTAAATAGAATTGGTCCTAGCACGGAACCCTATGGAACTCCATAGTTAACCTGTGTGTGAAGAGGACTCTCCATTTACATGAACAAATTGAACTCTTTTAGATAGATATGATACAAACCACTGTTGGACAGTACCTGTAATACGTGTACTGCATGCTTTAATAGGATATTATGGTCAGGGTTTTGGGTGGATAATGGGAGGAGAGAAGCTGCAGAGAGGCATGTAAGACATCTCTGCTTCCTCCTCCCAACTCCGGATAATCACATTTTGGGGTGGTTTAATAAATTTGGCCAGATTTCTAGAAATGAGAGCTGCTCCATCCAAAGTGGGATGGATGCCATCTCTCTTAACAAGTCCAGGTTGGCTCCAGAAAGTTTCCCAATTATCTATAAAGTAGGGGTGCAACAATACACAAAATTCACGGTTCGGTTCGGTTCGATACTTTGGTGTCACGGTTCGATATTTTTTCGATACAAAAAAATGTTCATGCCTTTTTAATTTGTCATTTATTAAACTTATAAATATATATTTTAACTCAAAAGTACAGTTTTTAAATTTAATGTTGCTGAAACAAAAGTAATTAAAAAAATAAATATATCTCAGGGCTCTCAAAATTTCAAAATCTCTGGTAGCCCTTCGGGCATTTTTTGGTAGCCCAAAATAAATGTAAGTAGCCCGAATAAAAAGAGAGAGCAATTTTGTGATTGATGTTTTGTTTCCTTTACAATATTATACATTAAAGTATAATATTGTAAAGGAAACAAAACATCAGTCAAAAAATTGTTGAAAAACAAATTACAACATTGTATAAAAATTACAATCATCAACTCAAATACTTGGTTCTAATTGAACAGAAATTTCTATGAACTTGTAAGAACTGTGTAGGACATGGAATCAGTCTGTGTCAGATCCTGAATTTGAAATTTCCACTGAAGTCACGGGTAAGAGGCAAGTGGAACCAAGATCTAGGCCATTTGCTTTTTGAAGTTTGCAAAGACTGCTAAATTTTGCCAGTGGTAGTTCACTCTTTGCAACATAGTACGCTGTTCTAAACAGATTTTTCAGGTTTATTTTTAGTATGTTATTTGCAATTGGTGTTTGTTCTGGGAAAGATATTGCAGACTGAGCAATAATGCATTTCTTGCATTTCTCATGGGTTCTAATGGGGGGCCTTTCTTAAAATGACTGGTCCCAGTAACAAAGGCGCTTGTCGACTCAGGAATCGAGAGAAAACCAACAACACACTCGGCAGAACATTATGTTATTTACACGGGTGCACATAAGTGGTCCGCATGTGCGCATTCGCTGTCAAAATAAAAGACGCGCACCAGATAAGAAGTTGCAACGCGCGTTTGTGTCCATATAAAAGGCACTGTTTTTGTCCGCTAGAGTGGGATTTTCACGGCACATTCTGCACCACATCTCTGTGCGTTCATCATTTGTTTGAAGCCAGCTCACCTCCTGCAACCACTTTTCCGAGAATACGTGCTGTTTTTATGGTTCGGACTCCTTCTGACATTTTGGAGGTGGAGGAACACCAAAGTAATTGCTTAAAGGATTTTGTTTCTTCGACATCTTTAAGAGTTCTAAACAAATGTCTGTCCTCCTCCAGAAAATCTTATGTATGCAAACATGCGTTTTTTTTTTTTTTGTTTTTTTTTGGACAGCGAATGCGCACCTGCGGACCACTTATGTGCAGCCCCGGTTATTTAGCTTGTCGTATTGCAGCCACAGAAATTCTTTTGTCCATGAAACCATAAAACTGCACTTTCTTTTTGCCTTATAGTCTGATTTGTCATAACTTTTCCGTTTTGTGGTAAGCTTTTCTTTGGCTGTCACTTCTTTACCCTGACCTGTCTTATTTGGCTCAGCAGAACTAAAATATATATCCTGCTGCTTTTACACACGCACTCACATAACGCTCAGCGATTCTCTGCGCGATCAACCTCTCACATGTTTAAGCTGCGGGAGATTTCACTTGTCATGTTTGCATAGTAAGCGAACGATTGATAAGACGATGTCAGAGGAATTGGTGCGCAAATTATCATCACTCACCAATCAGTACTGTCGCTCTCTATACACAGTTTGCGCGATTGCAAAGTGAAAGCAAAAAACAAGCGCAAATTCAAACGCGATTTCAATATAATAATAATAATGGATACTTTATTGATCCCCATGGGGAAATTACTTGTTTTTCTCTGCATTTGACCCATTCACTCAGTGAAGCAGTGGGCAGCCCACTAAGCAGGCGCCCGGGGAGCAGTGTGTAGGGACGGTACCTTGCTCAGGGGTACCTCAGGGTAGCCGTTAAGTGGATTCGAACCGCCGACCTTCCGATCATGGGGCGACCACTTTACCTACTGAGCTATCCCTGCCCCCCAATATGTCACATATTGACAGTGGCTCACCGATGCCAATGACATAATTACCCAGCTACATTTCCGAAAGAATGCAAAAGCATTGACATATATTTTTCCTACAATAGCCCGACGGGCAGGGCAGAGATAGATTTTGGTAGCCCGACTGGAAAAATCGCTAGCCCCAGGACGTCGGGCTAGCGATTTTGCAAGCCCTGTATCTGATTGAGGAATCACTCATCTTTGGAAAAGAGTTTATTACAGAGAAATGGCTCTTTCCAAAATAAAAGCAATACTATCTGCTTCTTCTGGGCTATATTCTCAGCAGCATATTGTAGCGGGTCAGGGCTGTTCGGGGTTCTGTTTGTACAGTTATGTTTTGTTTATGTTGCCATAGTGACGGGTGACGCCCTCTCGCTGCAACGGTGTGTCCTTCCGGGGTCAGAGGGTGCCCTGTGTGTTGTTGTTGTTGCTGTGCGGTTGCCGCGCTGAGCAGTTAGCTAGCGGCAGTGTTCTTCTGCAGATGTCAATAAATGGCTGTGCTCCCTGGCTAGCTCACGGGAAGCAAGACCAAACGACACCTCCGTCTCCTCCTTGTCTGAGCTCGCCACAATATTAAACATATCAGGTCCCCATAAGGAGAATCATGTGCTAACGGCTGTCTAAATGACTCTGGTAAAGTTTGTAGCATGCATGCTTGTTGTTTTTGTCTGCTTCCACTTGATTTTGCACTAGGATGATGTCGGCGTAAATGTGCAGTCATATTCGTTGTGTTCCCACTAGTGCTGTCAGCGTTAATCTCGTTGAAATGACGTTAACGCCACAACACGGCAAATCTCCGTTAATGAGCTACCGCGGATCGCCCCGTGCGTGGGGCTAGACGGCCAACATGTTAACGAGCTAACTGCGCTAACACACTAGTTCCCACCCATGTAATTGAGCATTGCGTGGCACATCCAACATACTGTTTTACTTTTGTCCATGACGCGCTTACCTTCAGGGTCATACGTCACATGAAAACCAAAATAATTCCAAACGCCAGATCTGAATGAGGGTGGGGGAGGTTCAATTTGCCATGTTGCAAGGAGCGCTTAACTTCTGTCTCGCTAGCTTGCCCTGCGCTCTTCCTTCTGACAATGCTGTCTGTGTTGAACGCTCAGTGGATCTGCGCTCGACAGTGCAGCCTAGGCGGAGTAGTCGAACGCAGATTCACTGAGCGCTCAAAATAAATTACAAATTTTGTATTGTTCGATACATATGCGTACCGAACCGAAACACTGTATCGAACGGTTCAATATCGATACGAGTATCATTGCACCCCTACTATAAAGCCCACATCATTTTTTTGGACACCACTCAGACAGCCAGCAATTTAAGGAGAACATGCAGCTAAACATGTCACTCCTGATTGAGGAGAGGACCGGAGAAAAAAGACAAAACAAAAGACTGGGTGGTCAGCTACCAGGACTTTTTCTGTAATTTTACACATTTATTTCTTACAATTTAAGTCTGAAGAGTTCTGACAAATTTCAGTTACATATTTAACTTAATTACACAGACACAAAGTGGAGTTTCACTTGTTCGTCCCACTTAAGATCAAAATGGGCGGTATGTGGCCTGTGACATAAAAGGAGTTTGACACTCCATGCACTGGAGATTGCACGCTAAAACATGTGATAATAATAATTGATTAAATGAATTCAAAACCTGTCTTTGTGCAGGCAAGCAGAATGTGGTGATCATGGGCAAGAAGACGTGGTACTCCATCCCAGAGAAGAACAGACCTCTGAGCAACAGAGTCAACATTGTCCTCAGCAGGAAGTGCAAGTATTTGTCACACACAGTGCCATTTCACGGTGTCACGTTTTATCATAATGCCCAGTGTGCAGTGCATTGACTTCCTGCGTGTCTGTGTGAGTGTGTGTGTGTGTGTGGGGGGGATATTTTATTACTCAGTGCAGAGTTTTGCTACACAAAGTATTGCCCTGTTCTAACTGACATGCTGTAACTGGTCATTCTGGTCCAGAGTGCCCCCTGCAGGAGCACACTACTTGGCGTCAGACTTCAGCTCAGCCCTCAGGCTAATCGAAACAGAACTGGCTGATCAGGCCGATCAGGTCTGGGTTATAGGGGGCAGTTCTCTCTACAAGGTATGTTTGTATTCACTTCCACTTTTTTTTAGAGTCAGAAATTGGTCATTTTGAATTAACCAAAAAAGAGTAGGCCAGGCTAACTGATTACATATTAATAGTCAGCTGGACTCTAAATAGTTACTCCAAAGTGGTTTTTACTGTCACACTGGTGACTGCTACTATTGATGGTTATATAGTGAAGCACTTCAAGAGAAGCTGCAACTACACACCTTTCTCTTTAATTATGTTTTGATCATCCAGGAGATGATGGGGAGCACGGGAATGAGAAGACTGTTTGTCACTCAAATTCTGAAGCAGTTTCAGTGCGACACATTCTTACCTGAGATCAGTCTGGACAAATATCGTCTGCTGCCAGAGTAAGACCATCACACATGCTTGGCACTAGTTTATGCATATTTGTCACACATTTCAAATCATTAAACAGAACTAAAATACCCCTGAGTCACACTAATTGTCGGGAATCCTCGAAGAACAGGCCGAGGAGTTTCCCTGATGCTTAGCTTTGTCCACCCTAGCTGGAAAATCCAGAAAACTGTTTTATTTCTTATTTATCGTCCACCAGGCCCTTACTCGAAGAAGTCGTACCATTAATTAATGCTTCAATTAATATTAATATGATCAACTTATCTCTATTAATTGGCTACGTACCACAGGCTGTCGAGCTGGCAGTAGCAATCACCTGACCCATCTGTCAGCTAATTATAGGCCATTTTCCAACCTTTGTTTTTTCTCAAAGGTTCTTGAAAGAGTAGTTGTCAAACAGTCAGTCAGGTTTCAGAGCTCATCACAGCACAGAAACAGCTTTAGTGAAGGGAAAATGATCTTCTTATGGCCTCTGTCAGTTTACTTGTCTCTGTGCTTATCCTTATATTTTATTACAGTGGTTAGAGCAGGGGTGGGCAATTCAAGGCCTCGAGGGCCGGTGTCCTGCAGGTTTTAAATCTCACCTTGGGTCAACACACCTGAATCAACCGATTCGTTCGTTACCAGCCCTCTGGAGAACTTCAGGACATGTTGAGGAGCTAATGTAGCCATTTAAATCAGCTGTGTTGGATCAAGGACACATCTAAAACCTGCAGGGACACTGGCCCTCGAGGCCTGGAGTTGCCCACCCCTGGGTTAGAGCATGCTGATAGGTAAGGTGATGCACTGCAGTTGTTTGAAACATATCTATCTAACAGTCTCCAGTTTGTTTGTTTGTATTGAGAGTCCTCTTCACACACTTAATTACTTGTGTGTAAAGAGGATAATTTTGGGAGTTCTACTGGATTCTGTGCTAGGACCAATTCTGTTTACACTATGCTTATGCACTATCATTAAAAGGCATAGCAAACGTTTTCACTTCTATGCAGATGATATCCAACTTTTTCAATCCATAAAGCCAGATAACACACACCAATTAATTAAACTTCAGTGATGTCTTAAAGAAATAAAGACATGGATGATCTCTAATTTACTCCTTCTAAAATCAGATAAAACTAAGGTTATTGAACTCGGCCCTGAAAATCTTTGAAATATAGTACTGAATGGGAAGTAGAGACTTCAGCTTCCAGGCCCCTCTTCTGTGGAACCAGGTCTCATTTTGAATATTTTTGCATATAGATTGGATCAGGTGACCCTGAATCCTCCTTTAGTTACGCTGCAATAGGTCTAGGCTGCTGGGGGATTCCCATGATGGACAGAGTGTTTCCCTTTCACTCACTATGTGTTTATACACCACTCTGCATTTAATGATTAGTTATTATTAATCTCTGGCTCTCTTCCACAGTGTGTCGTTGTCCTGTCTTCCTCCCCTCACCCCCAACAGGTCGCAACAGATGGCTGCCCCTCCCTGAGCCTGGTTCTGCCAGAGGTTTCTTCCTGTTAAAAAGGAGTTTTTCCTTCCCACTCTTGCTAAAGTGTTTGCTCAAATGGGGTCATCTGATTGTTTTCTCTATTTTCTTTGTATTATTGTAGGGTCTTTACCTTATAATATAAAGCTTGAGGTAACTGTTGCTTGGAGTTGGCACTACCATGAGCCACTGATATTTGGAAGTTTTACTGTATTCCACCAGAATCCCATTTGTCCCATTGTGGGCCAGTGCATGAAATTCTTGTATCTTTGCAAGTTCTATAATGGAGCCGTGTGACTATTTTTGTCCATGCAAGTGTCGAGAGGGAGTATCTGACACTACACAAAAAATAATAATGCAGTGCAGTGCATCATCGCAGTACAATTTTTTTTTATATGGAAAATAATTTGTTTGATCCTCTACACCGGGCATTTTGTATAGGGTCACATCAGCCGTGGCAGTTCATCATGGAAAAACAACTAATCAACACATTTCAACTTTATAGTCAAAATACTATTTCAAGAATTATCTCAAAATTTGTACCTCCTTCTCAAAATGATCAATAGCTCTAATACTCCTTGGTACACACATAACAAAGTAAGGAAAATGTTGAAGGTTGATTATATAATAAAGTGTTATGTGAATGATGTTGAAATTGGGTATTTGAATGTGAAATAATGCACTTGCCTCTAAACTTTATTTGTAGATGAATCAAGATGCATTAAAGGTTAAAGATCATTTCTCCTACAGGTTTCCAGATGTACCACATGAGCTGCAGGAGGAGAATGGGATTCAGTACCGATTTGAAGTCTATGAGAGCATCCAGGAATGATGAGGCAACGCAGAAATCAAAAAAGTTGATGTGATTTGTAAATGATCACCATTATGTAAATGCTGGACTTATTGTTTGGAACAGACGGCGGAAAACAAAAACAAACCTGTGTTAAGTAGTACTGGAATTGACCCACCACACTTCACAGGTGTGATGGAAGTGATGCTGGGACTAGATCTAGTTTGATTTGAGTTTGTTCAGTTTTGTTTCCTTCAAGTAATGAATGATCTTAGAAAAGGAAGAGGTATGTAAAGGTGTAGTCTCTGATCTCTTTTCTCATATAAATGTGTCACAGCAAAGTAAACAAAATAAAGTGCAACTGTGGCTTCTGGAAAGTCACTTGTTTAATTTATTTATTATTTTGTCCTCTTTCCTTTTGCAATCAGAATTTTGATCTGAATGCACAGTGGTGACGAACACATTTTGCTTTTGCAAGAACAATTGTCAATTTTAAACAACACCTTATACATTTTTGATTACCATTTGGGGGATACAGAGATTTTGTTACCCAAGTAGCTTTTTATAGATTGTGTTGACTGGGATTACATTTTTCCTGTACGATGGATTTCAGTTGCTGATATTCAAGGAATTTACTGTTGCTAATTCTATAGTTATTCAAATGAAATACATTTGAAATCTTGTATAAGATGTTCTAGATTTTTTTTTTTTATCCCTTTCACCAAGCTGAATGCCAAGCGTGAACAACAAATTGATTCACTGATCTACATCATCAGTTTTATTTTATATTACCTTTTTGACAAAAGCTACAAAATGGATGGCTACAACAGCTAAGTTTGCTTCTTAAGCACTATATGTTCACTAATAAGGGTAGGATAAAGCTGTCATTGGAAAAAAGATGTTGATAGCTACCATAGAAAATTAGTTAGAGAAGCTTTGAGATGCATGTTTTGGAGACCTAGAGTACTTTTGCCCCTTTTCTCATAGATTTACATACAATCAAAAGTGTCTCTGAAATCACAGGAGTCACCCTCTGCTGGCTATTAAAAGAATGTTGGTTCAAGGATTGTTAACTTGGTAAACTTTTATTAGAGTGTTAAATGGCTGCAAAGTAAAGTCTACAAGGTTTCCCACTCTGACAGCTTTCAGCTGATACAAACGACCAGGCAATCGACCTCCAGTACCTGCTGGGACAAAACTGCCCCCACCCCTCTATTCAAGGCATTTCATGAATAAAAGGGAGAGAAAATTGAGTAGTGTAGAGTAAGGGTTCCCCATAGAGGGCCTTCTTTACCTGTACAAATGCCAGCTGGTACTGCTCCATTCACTGGACAAGATCCTTGGCACCTTTTGGTCAGGTCTGACCACAAACCAGTGGTAGTAACTGGCAAGCCCCAAGACCAGCCTCACCTCTTTTTTTTTTGTTTTAGGAATGTACTTACCAGTTACTGTACATCCATCCATCCAATCCAAGAAAATTTGCCAGTAGCCCCTGGATGAATAAATAAACATGAGCTGTGCCTACTCGGTCCAGGAGCTTGCTGACCTGGGCCATGGGATAAGCGTCAAACTGTGAGACCTTGTTCACCTTACTGATACTCAGCACGTGATGAATGACTGTATATTTGCACAATTATTTCTTCTTTGCAGCACCTTTTCAACGACCTCCTGCTGCACACCACAGCTCTCTCCTCTGGGCCGCAGCAGCAGAGCGACAAACCATGCCCTGCCACAGCAACAGAGGAGAGCTGCCTCCATCCTCAAAGACCCCCACACACCCCCAACACAGACTGTTCACACTTCTGCCCTCGGGACGAAGGTTTAGAAGTGTGAAATCCAGAACATCCCGACTCCACAACTCCTTCTTCCCCACTGCTATCAGACTCTTGAACAGCTGACCTATTTTAACAGTAATAATAATTTTTTCACATCAGGTCATCTTACATATCAAACCAGCATATTAAGCTCATAGCTCTTTTGCACACAAATCTATTTAATACTTCAATTTTTGTCTCTATTTATTTATACTATTTGTATTTTATCTGTTCTAGTCCTATTTGTACATATTAACCGGCATCTGTGTGTGGACAGCAGAGAAAGAATTTCATTGCACAGAGAAATTATTTTCTTTGTACACATGACAATGCTTTGAATCTTGAATTTTTTCTTAATCATGAACTATAAACATTGATGAGGTGCATCTTTTGACTTTGCCTTTATTATAGTTTTAGCATTTTGATGCTGTTAACAGTTACATACTGAGCAAATATGATGATAGCAGCTAACCTTTGCCATGCCCAGCTGGACCACAGACCTTTATGGCATTGTCAAAAGGAGCAGGAAGTGAATTCTGCATGGGACAAAACTCTTCATGTCATTATTTGTGCAGCTATTAAGGATTCTTCAGCGATACTTACCGTAAAAATAACTGTTTTGGCAGGTTTTTGGTGGAGTCTAATGGAGTATAAAACTGGGGCCCATATGTAAATCTGAACCCTTCACACACATAAGTCTTTCTAACTATCCCCTTTTCTGTTTTCAGACTATTTCTTCGTGAAATGAAGGGAAATTGTTGAAATTAGAATTTACTTAATCTTTATTTTCCAATTGAGGTGAATTGTTCTGGAGCTGGTTCCTTTTATCCAACTCAAACCTGTCAATTCATCTTAATACTGGGAATAATGTAAAATAAATCTCAGTTTAAGTCATACACCTTTTCTTAAGCACTGCTAAATGGTCATTTCCATCAGTAATGTTTTGAAACAACACTAATACTAAATAACATATTAATATTAAATAGTACCCTGAAGCACACTGAATTTCTTTGCATCATTTATTACACAATTTGCCCTGAGGATACTCTTGTGAAAGCTGAACTAGGGAAGACATAATAGAAGATATAGTACAAAAACAATGCACAGTGTATCGGCAACTGTAGCCCCAGTAACACACACCTGGGACATAAAATTAAAAATAAATCACAGGAACTCACAGGGAGAGAAAAAATTTGAGCTAACTTCACTGCAGAGATGGAGAAAGATGTAAGAAAAGAAAGGAGAAGGCAGGTATAGACTGCTAGGTGAAACTTGATAAACTGCACATTTAAAGATTATATGTGACGTCATTATTTTTAATCACATATTGGATCTGTATATGATGTGTTTTGATCAAATGTGTGTTTTTATTTTGTGAAACATCTTGCAAAACAAACTGAGTGTAGTAGTTTTGTGTTATTCAAGTGTTGCATGACAATTCTCTGTATCTTTTGCAGGATAAGCAGTTTGGCTTGGACACAGTAACATATAAAAATATTTCTGGTGAACACCTTCAAAATATTGTCAAATTACATGAATTGTTAAATATGGTTCTTTTTTTCATTTCTTTGTGTGTGTGTGTGTGTGTGTGTGTGTGTGTGTGTGTGTGTGTGTGTGTGTGTGCGCGCGTGCTTTCAGTATTTTTCCTTGGTGTAACGGATCATGTGTGTTGCTCACAGTATACACGTGTGCTACACTACCGTTTCTGAATATGGCCATATGATTCCGAGCTTTTCTAACAAACTGACTTGTTATCGCCCCATGAGGCCACTAGGGGGCAACAAACACTTGCCAATCATAAACTGACTACAAGAAATCAAGGGACCATACCCTTACTTCCTGTGGTGACCTTAAAATAAACGTCTAAACTTTTGCGTAGGCACAACCTAAACATAACGTGACTCCCCAATCCTTACTCCTCACCAGCCCCAAGAAAAGAGCAACAGCACAATACCATTTAAGATGCTAGAATCAGTTTCTTTGCTCTGGAAGTAGGCAATGCCAAAACATAAAAAAAAAAAACTTCTGTTGAGCTTCCACAACAGAAATTTTAAAAAAGACAGTTCTCTAATCTAGGCTCCCTATCAATGAACAAGAGGAACCAAAGGTAAACAAAAAAAAACAAACAAAAAACGACTCACTTCTGCTGAAATGTGCTGTGCTGTGGTGAAATATTCACAGTTCACTACTTAACAAAGATTATTTACAAAATCCTCTCAACAAACATTTCAGGAGTAAATATAAATAAATACATATTGGGTGATATCTTTTTCAGCTGTACTATTGTGCAGTTGATGGTTGCTTTTTGAGAAGTAACAGAGTGAATCCTCCTGCAGGAGCACTGCTCCAGCCCACACAGCACTGGCATCCACCTCGAGTTTAAGATGGCACATGAAATCTGGAGCAGCGAGGAGAGGAGCGCTGCAAAGGAGAGCGTTAGTATCATCAACAAATTACTTAACAAGTGTCAAGTGTGGAAAAACTACTTTTGCAAACAGATCTACAGCATATACAGTAATTGAACATTTGAATTCTTCTAATGTCTTGATGCATTCTCAATCATCCAGGTAAGTAAATCTCCAAAAGTTGATTCTGTTCATTTGGACGTAGCGTTTTCAGTGGGAGAAACGTTTCGTCACTCATCCAAGTAACTTCTTCAGTCTCAGCTGACTGCAGGTTTCCTCACTGAAGGAAACCAGTCCATTGTTCCTTCAGTGGGCTGGTTTCAGTCATTATGCAAATGTACTGTTTTTAAGATTGGGGAAACATGTAGTCGGCTGTGACTGAAGAAGTCACTTGGATAAGTGACGAAACGTTTCTCCCACTGAAAACGTTACGTTCAAATGAACAGAATCAACTTTTGGAGAATTCTTCTAACCAGTACCGGGCACTGTGAACAGCTAACAAATATGAGAAAACATCACGAATAAAGGGTTTTCTTAACTTTTTTTATTTTAAAAACTTGCTTGCTATAAAATCAACATGTGACGCATATGTGTAATACTGCAGATATTAACTGTATGTTTGAAGTGGCACGATGTCCATATTTTTAGGGAATATTTGGGTGGTTAAGGCAGTGCATGTTATTACTGATTTAATAATCAATTACTAAATCAATTAGTAATCAATTATGCTGCAGAATTTTTTTCATTCTACTTTTGAAGGCACATTTTTGTTGTTTCCTTAGAAAAATTAGGAATGAAAACTGATTGTAAAATGAATAAATTGACTCATAAATAACAATCTATAAAATATAAAGCTTTGCTTTTTTGTAGTGTCACAATAATTCCATTCCTGGTGGAATTCATTTCTATTTTATTTATATAAAATTGAACTAAAGTAGCTGGGTATCCTGCAGAGAGGTTTGCGGGGGCCACCCTCAGCTCAAAGGAAAACGGCACCTCATTTCCTAATGCATTTACCTCCATCCCAGAACTGTGTTTCTTTTTCTTTCTTGTAACTCTCTCTCAGCACAGGAACCATAGGATTCACAGGAGGACACTCTGCACCCTGAGTTTTTCCAGCTTTACTCTTTTATATTTTTAATAAACCAAACATCTTCTAAGTGGTCTGGTCTTTG